ATATTCATTGTATTTTTCCATCACACTTCATAAAAACTTCCCTCTCTATAAAGTAGTTATTAGAAAAGGTATAAAACCGCCTTCAAGGTTGTCTATACCTTAGCTGCATATGAAATAGAGGAGGAAAGTTGTCTAGCATAAGCTTAAGTGTTTATAAACTTAAGTATTCATAACAGGGTTGTTGACTCGTATATCACCCTGTCTATACATAACCAAGGCAAATGCGTAGGTAAAATCCACAATGAAATGAACTAGATTTAGAATGAGGACACCTTAATTGGTTTCCCAGCCAGGCCACTAACTGGCTATGTTACAGTCACTTTGGTCATGGATTTACTCATCTGTAAAATGAAAGAACTGAATGAGGTGATTTCTAAGACCCTTTTCTGTTCCAATATTTTACAGGAAATTTTTTCCATCTGTTGTTCTGAGCTCCACGTACCGCCCACCTCTTGTCACAGTCAAGGGTCCGGTCTATTCCAATTCCAGTGACAGTAGCATTGCCCCAAGTGGCTTCAGGGTAAGACTGGAGAACTACAAGCCAAAATGACACATTTGTTCCCCTCATTTCTTAAGTCCCATGATAATTCTTGGGAACAGAAAATTGCAGATGATTAAATTAAAGATGTTTCGGCTTTGGACAGGAAGAGAACACTCAAGACGAAAGCTGACTTTACAAGTGTCTCAAACTCCTGAAAGTGTTCGAATTTGAGCTGAGTGCTTGTAAGAGCCTGCGCTCAATAAAAGCACATCGATCACGCAAAGTAGTCTTCCATGGCTGAGCCAAAGGAGGCAGCGATCATGAGCCAGAGTATGAAAGCTCCCTGGACTTCAATAACGTATTGCTAACTGGCGTAATCTCCTGAGAGAGTGCGAGACCTCAAATTAACAGCACGGAGTTGAGTCTAATAACTACATTGCACAACATCATATCTACTCTTCAGTCAATACTTCATTTTCTCATACAGCCCTCAGCCTCCTGCAAGCGTCTATTGTGTTTTGCAAGCGTCTATTGTGACCTTGAAGGGCACCAGTCACCTTACACCTTACTATCTCCAAATAGCCCAGTATGTCTTGAAATATTCTCAGATAATTATAGGTTGAAATCCACTCTGAAGGAACAGAAATCTTCTAGCATACTTCTTACCCAGCTTTTCAGTTCATCGCCTTACAGCAAACTGGGGTGGCTCAGATTGAAAAGTCAACCTATGTTTTTAGAAGTAACTTCCAGAGGCTTTGCTTACAATCACATAAGTCAAATCAGCAAATTCTTCCTGCTTCTTGTTATCTGCATCTCATAGGTCATAGTCCCGGAGCTTTGGTCACTGAAGCTTAGCAGGTTTCAAAGGAGAGTGACTTTATCCATTTTAATTAACAAAAAGTGCTCTGTAGTGTGATGGTGGATTACTTTTGAGTCTTCAGGGACTTGTTTAATTTTTTCTGGCATCTTGATGTTATGTTTTACATGGGAGAACTATTTTTGAGGAAGGAGTTTTTCAAAATAAGTAATATTTTCCTGTTCACCAGCTTTTAACTCATAATGGAAGTGCTGAGTTGGCATTTCTTCAAAAGGCAAGCGACATTACAGAGCAGTGTGGCCCGAGGCTAACGTTCATTGTCCTCTCTTCCACACAATACTATTTTAAAAATCGTGTTGAGTATATCAAAGTGTTGGAGACCCATCACACGCTCTCAAATTTTGACTAATTCTATAATAAGTTAGTGCCCTTTAAGGGCCTGGGTAAGTTCTGCTTCAGCTTTTCTGTTTGGATAAGGCTTCTCTTGTTAAAGTAACAAATTACCACAGGCATGTCCATACTGCACAAGAAAATAAATCCACAATTGTCCTAGCTTTTGAAGAATAATTCTTAAAGTTCACTAGGGTTAGCTTGGCTTAGGTAACATGACCTCCCTGCGCCCATCTCTGAGACCCAGAAAGATGTGATTAAACCTAGACAACAGATTCCACCCTCAGAATCAGGCAGAAAAAGCTATTTTATCCTATCAAATGGGAATACATCCTGACACAAAACATTGTGCCAACTGCTTTTACATTATTGCATTTTTTAAAAGTATTTAGTGCAGGGTCTCCAGGGTCCCACTATATAGATCAGACTCATAGTGATTCTCCTGTTTTCAGCCTCCCAAGGGCTGGGTTTACAGGTGCGTTCACCACGCCCAATCTCAGTGCGCGACGGGAGCGGGGCCTGCACAGCACACCAGGGGTGAACGCTGGCCACTGTACTCCGTCTAAGCAGGTGCATTAGTCCACTGAGCTATCTGGCCAGCTCTACATTATTGTTTTTTGTTTGTTTGTTTGTTTGTTTTGTTTTGTTTTGCTTACAGAACCAGGGGATTGAACTGAGGCCCTTGTACTTGCCAGGGAAGCACTTACTCTACTGAGCCATCTCCCCACCCCTACATTATTGTATTTTAAACTGTTCAAGACTTCATTATAAACAGTTGAGCACATTATTTTCTTAACTATTAATACTTCCTGGAAGAACATTTTAGGTTATTTCCAGTGGCTGACTATTAAATACTCCCTCAAATAATAACTGCTCTGGAATATTCATTTTATTTGGGATCATTTCCCTAAATATATTTGCAATAGAAGCAGAACTGTTCAGTCATGTAGAATGATCATTTTTAAGGCTCCTAATACCCATCGCCAAATTTCTTTCCAGCAGGCTTTTATCAATTTGTTTTTGCTGACATTTCATGAGAATTTCCACATCAGTGCACTCTTTCCAATGTGAAGCCTATTCATCTTCCTTTGTGTTTGCCAATTTGATGAGTTCAAAGAAAATGCAGAAGAATCTGGATAAAATCAGAAGCTCTGATCATCTGTCTTTCTTGCACACAAAATTTCAATGACTTTTGCTGGCCTTGACCCCATGCTCCCCAGAAAAACATGGAAGACCTTAAGGTGCTGTCCCTGGTGGTCTCCGCACCTCTCTCTTCTGTCGCTTCCCAGAGCACCCTGGAAAACTGAAACACTTCAAATTCCTGACTCTGCATCTTGTCTCATGTCTTAGCGTTTTTGCATATAATGTTCCACTCTGACTGAAGAATTCTTTTGACCTTGAAAATACCACCTGATTAGAGTCTCAATCACACATCATTGCACTGACCCTTACACAACCCATTCCACATAAAATATCTTTTAAGGAAAGGTGCACTGTCTCCTCTATCTTTGTGTATCTAGACCCTGGCCCAAAGCCTATTACCAAAAAGACAGAACATATGTAATCACAATAAATAATGGGTGGTGATAGAAAGAGAATGGATGGTGACAGATGGGAAAGGAAAGAAATTTGGTCTTGTAAGGGAAAATAAAACTGACCTCCGTGCTGCGGAGAAGTATATATAACCTCTCTGAGCTTCATTTCTAGATGTGGCCTGAGTTTAATGTTTACCAGCATTGACCGTACAGGCGAGGAAAAGGTGGCAGGTGGGAGAATAAAGAATGTCTTGAAGAAGAGTAGTTAGCCTTCTAGCTGAACAGTTCATCCAAAGTCCTCTTGGTAGTATGCTTTGTACAGACAGACAACATTGTAGGGTCCATGGTGGCACCAGGATAGAAAACAAGTCCACAGCACAAATCAGCAAAGCTGCTAAAAGCCATGTGCCCATCCCATTGTCCAGAATGAAATGGCCAAAAGCAGGCTTCACATAATCTAGATCCAAACTCATAGTCATGGCAGTTCATCCAGTGCAGAAATGGTGCCCCGCCTCCCAAAAGATTAGAACAGGAAAGATGCAGTGAAAGCCAAAACAAATCCATTTAGGCGGATGAAGTGGCTGGAATTTCTAGAATGTACCTCTTCCTTCCACAGGCTGGTCTAAAGCCTTACCTGAGCCACAGAGCATTCTGCAGAATTATGAACGTGCAACTTACACATGCAGGAGCTGTTGGGCACAACTCGGAAAGGGAGGCTGGTGGCGACAACCACCATCACGTCCGTCAGCCAGTCCTGAGAAACCACCACCGGCACCATGCTGGTTGCCCAGTTCTCTCAAGCAGAGCAGGGCCTGGCGCTTGCAAATATTGAGGATTTGTGAAGGGGATTAACTGGACTATGTCTCTAAGGTGCTTTGAGCACCTTGGAGAAAGAACTTTTAATTACAGTGTTGGCCAGGAGCAAGAGAGAAAATAAGGAAAGGATACCAATTTTGTTAGGGATACTGATGCACAGTCACTCTTTGGATAATTTTTTTTTGCCTCAAGGGATGCAACATGTTTCCTTCCTCCTTATTCTAGAACCTGAATGCTGCTTGAATGAAACAGGCTAACTTTATGCCTCTCTTTGCTCATAGGATGTGCTGCAGCTATTCTTTTTGTTAATTTTTTTTATACTTTTGTGTAGTTGTTTTACCCAGACATATTCAAATCAATTCATTTTTTTCCCGTGGCAAAAATGTCAGGTTTTAATTTATTTATAATTTTTATTCATTTTAAGGAGAAAAAAAGATAAAATAGTGATGAAACAGTTTCAAAACAGGTTAGTAGGACATTTACAATAATTAATACATTGCATATTACTGTCTTCGCAGTAGTTATTCAGAGGACAAGATGCAGACATGATATCTTTTTTTTTTCTTAGAACTAATCACAAATGTATTATTTATTCTTAGATGGTAGACATCACAACAATTTACCTACTTTGGATTAACTGATGTACAGGATTAAAAAATATATGTTTTGCACATTCTGAAAGTTCACAGATGTTCTATGTTCTGCAAACCAGGGGAAGAGTTATTTAGAAGTTGGCATCTTAATCATTTAGGTATGGATTTTGTTTAGAATTTACGATGCCGGACAAAGGGAAGGGAAGTAACTCTCCGAAGGGCAACTTCCAAAGAAGCACCCACTGCTAAGAGGAAGGACTGTAATGGCGATCCGCTCTGGCAGGTACCTACGCGCAATCCTGTGTCTTGCACGAATCCATTCCTCCTCACTCAGAAAGGTGCTAAGAATCCTCCACCATGGAAGATTAGAGGTGCAGCTCCTTCCTGAAGCACTGGAGCATCATCTTTGTCCAGTGTGATCCATGCTTTTACTGATGATCTTTTCCATGGAATAGCTATAGTTTTCCGTGATTCTGTTTTCCTCGATGCTTTTCCTGAAGCATGATTCACATCAGCTTGCAGTTGTCCTTTTCAGCTTTCTTCTTTTTCCCTGCTTCTATATAGACATTTTCTTTTCTTTCTCCTGGCTCCTTCCTCATCGCCCTCTGCCTTTGGCTCAGCTGACTCATTAGAGGTACCAAGTTGTTCCTTGGCCTGGGCCATTTGAGTCATCAGCCTGTCCATGTGGGATTGAATGTCTGCCAAGATCTCAGTCACGTGAGCTGTGGCCATGGCTTCCTGGATGTCCACCAGATGAAGGGCCTTTTGCTCCTCGTCGGCAATCACCTTCTGAACTTTCTTAAATTCCTGCTGTATAAACACCTTCATCTGGTCCCGAGTTACTTTAGGGTCTGAGCTCTTGAACTTTAACCTTTCCACCAACTCGATCATAGCCGCCTTCAGTCCGCCTGAGTCTTTGCTTCTTAGTTCTTCGAAGGCTTCATCTAGCGTAGAGAGCTGGTGGCCCTGGTGTGCACCAATGACTGGACACAGCACACAGATGAGCTGCCTGTCTTCCTGGCAATAAGTGCTCAAGTCGAGCCCATGGTGCGGACATTTCCTCTTGGCCACTCTCTCTGCTTCCATTTCTATTTCTGGGTCAAATTCGCTCTCTGCCTCAGTTTCCCCTTCCGCCTCGTACTCTCCTTCTTGGTTATCCTCCTCCGCCTCGCTCTCGGGCTCATCCTCCATGTCTTCCTCACTGTCCTCTTCACTCTCTTCCTCACGTTCCTCCTCACTCTCCTCCTGCGACTCACTCTCTTCATCCGACTCACTGTCTCCCTCGGACTCGCTCTCCTCCCCCGCCTCGCTCTCTACCTCCGCCTCCGGCTCAGCCTTGGCCCCGCGGTCGTCCTTCCCCACCCCGTCGCCCCC